GGAAAGAGGTTTGCAGGTGTGAGAAGTAAATATCTTGTGTATCCTGCCCAAGGGCATGGCTGCACACTGGTTAACTTGGATAAATTAACCCAGGATCACATTGCTGAGACTGTAGAGCTTCCTTTGTCTTATGTGTAGCTGGTTTCCTTCTCCCACAACCCAGCAATCTTTTCTCTTTTTTTTTTTTTTATAGATAGCACTAAACTTTGTGCTACACTCCACAAAATAATCTCCATCTTCCGGACACGTCAACAACTTTCCATTCTCCATCTCTTACTTCATTGTGGCCAAATGCCTTGCAGTAGATGAATAATGGGTTTATTCTTCCTTTGACTATGTACCTTTATGTTATCTCTTGGAATATTTTTGCTTTGCAGGCTGGCACCAAAACAAATTTAAAAGCATTAATGGAACTTCAAAACAAGCCACCTACACTTGGAAACCTTACTAGCAACTTGGTCTGCTTTATTTTGTTCATAATGTATTTTAAGATGTTTATCTTGGAAATGAGAACAGTGGCCGATTCCAGCTTTCATGGCTCTCATTAGTTTATTGCATCTAAAAATGACCACGGAAACTCAAATGTATTTCTAAGTACAATATTATGGCTCTACATATCTGTTTGGAATGAGGTTGGAGGCACGGCTTCCAAGCAAGCTGACTCTTTGCTTTGGTCCTTACCCTGCCATTTAGGCGGGTGGAAAAGCAGCATACTGCAGCACTCTGGATGTGGGGTGCACGCCCGCTCTGAGCAGACCCTGGCCCATAACTGGATATCTGAGCAGAGTGAAACTCCTGTACTGACTGTAAGGAAAGATAGAAACTCTCCAGAGTCACCTGTCCCTGTCTTCCAACAGGTACATTTGAGGGAATTCGGGTCAATACCATCTTTGGAGTAAGTCCTGGCCCAGCTTTCCATAAATCTCTCAGCACACTTTTTTTCTAGCAGCAAAACCCTTCATTAGATTAGCTTTTGAGGGAAGCAGCATATGTTACTAGTGCCCTTCCAGAAGTAGAGAGCAACTTGCAGGGCTGTTTTTTGGAGGTAAGGACAGAGCTGGGCACGAGCCATCAGATGTGCCAGCTGCTCCATATGCAGCCATCCTTTGGCCAGGAAAAGGTGATCTAGCTTTGTGCTACCAAAACATCCTCCTGGGAGACTCTATTTCAATGGCATCTGTATCCTGAGAGCCAGTGAAAAGAAAGCTGGATCCCCTTCATGAGGTTTTTGTTGTTCCCACTGTTACTATGATAATTTTCATATTTTGAATAAAGTCCAAGAACATTTTGCATCTTTCCTTTTACTACAGATATGAGCAGCTGTTTGAAAAGAAACTGATAAATAGATGAGATCTTGTGTGTTTTCCAAGTATTCGCTTAACTACAATGACTGCATTGGGAAAAAGCGGTTTCTGGACTGAGACTTGATTTGTAAATAGCCAAATTATGCAAACACTTGATTTATGATCCAGTGGGTAGTAATTTATTCAGTATCATGGGACTAGACTGCTAGTCTTGTATTCATTATTGATATACATAGTTAAAGGAAAATTAAGACAGTTTTCTTCAGGAAAGCCTCTCTTCAAAGACAAATCTCAGGCTTGCCTTCTTCCATTGATAATTTCTAATTACCCTGGAAAAGCATCATTTTCATCTTGGGTTGATTCTCAAACCTTTCACTTTGGCAACTGAATTCCCACTGATTTCTCTGATCTGTGGGGACAAAATTTCATCCATGTATATAAGCAAACCTGGGGGTACAGGTTGTGCTGGTTTTGGCTGGGGCAGAGTTAATCTTCTTCATGGTAGTTAGTAGAGGGCTGTTTCGGATTTTTCCTGGAAAGAATGTTGATAACACAGCAATGTTTTAGTTATTGTTGAGCAGGGCTTGCAAAGTCAAGGCCTTTTCTTCTCCTCAGCGTACCGTGACAGGAGGAGGTTGGGGATGTGTAAGGACTTGGGAGGGGACACAGCCAGGACAGCTGACCTGCACTGACCAAAGGATATTCCAGACCATGTGGTGTCTCAGCAGATAAAGCTGTGGGAAGAAGGAGGATGGGAGGGACATTTGCAACGACGGCATTTGTCTTCCCAAACCACTGTTACATGTGATGGGGCCCAGCTTTGCTGGAGAGGGCTGAACACCTGCCTGCCCATGGGAAGAAGTTAATAAATTCCTTGTTTGGCTTTGCTTGTCTGCACAGCTTTTGCTTTATTTATTAAATTGTCTTTATTGCAACCCACGAGCTTTCTCACTTTTATCCTTCTCAGGTCTCCCCCATTCCAGCGTGGCAAGTGGGGAAGTGCCCGTGTTGCCAGCCAGGATTAAACCATGATACAGGTATAGAAGAAATCTAGTTAATTCCTAGTGAGAACTGGGAGCTCCTCTCTCTATCTGTTGTCAAGGATGTTGTTTCTCCTTCAACAACTAGTCCAGAATGACGTAGTCTTTAAAGAAGAATTCCAGCAGAGGTATTCAATCTGGAGTTATTTGTCAAATTAGTCATGATACTTGTTTGTAAGTAGTAACAAATGGAAAACTTCATGTTACATGCTAGAAGGAAAAATAGGCTAAATAATTCTTAAGCAATGTTCAGATGTCAGGCAGGAAATCCTGCTCACATGGGACTGTATCATGTTGCACACCTTTTTGGGGCTCTTTACAGAGAAAGGATTTCTGTTTCTTCTTAAATAATTGGAAGGGTTGTAGTAGAGAGGTGAAAGGATGCCTTTAACTCTGGTGTCTATTGAGGGAAAATTCAGGCAAGACTCATATTTCTGAGTGTTGTACAATCTGTGCTGACTGAACTGAGTGAATTTGGGGTGTAGCCTCACTAGGAGTGGACCACCTCAGCCTGACACATCCCAGGGGACTTTGTGGTGTGTCCTGCAGCAACATAGGTGAGAAATGTCTATGAGCCAAACGCACCAGCCAGCCTGTGAGCATTGCCAGGAGATTTTGCTTAGGGGTGAGAACAGGTTTTTCTGATACCCACAACAGCAGATAAGAAAAAGAGTGATACACAAGAGCACCTATATGTTATGTCACATGAGAGCAGAAAGGGTTCTTTACAGGTCTCTACTGGAAGATGGAGCTGGGTCTGAAAGCAAAAGTTGTCAGGGTACTGAGGTAACAAACATTTCTGGGGCTGGGTAGGGTATGTGTGCTGTGACTGGCAAGCGCGGCCCTGCAGGGCTGCTGCCAAGCCCAACCAGCCAAAAGACAGGCTGTGGCTCTTGGAGCTTTGCTGCATCTCCAGGAGTCAAATCCTCTAGGGGTGTCAGCAGCACCTGGAAATAGAGATTTTTTGTGTTGGTTTGGTTTGGAGAAGCCATCCCAGCCACTGCTGCTGTTGTGTGCCCCAATGCCTGTCCTGCCTTTGGGCAAGGAACTCAAGCCAGAGAAGGTGGGGCAGCCAAGCATGTCAAGCACATCAAGGAGGAATGGGAAGAAAAGGCAAATGGGAGCTTAATTTTTCAGTCCAGCTGTGAGCTGGTGGAGACAGGAAACTTATTCCTTTCCCCTGTGTTGGTATATATGGATTTATTTGATACTAGATAGGAACCTGACTTTCCCCTTGGTTACCACCAGACTGGTGATGCCAGCACACTCCTGACAATTTGGGCAGAAGTTTGGTGTCCCAAACTGCAGAACAGCTGGGTTTTAGCTGAGAGTTGGACGAGTGTCACATTAGCCTGGTGTTTTGGGGATCCTTGTAAGAGGGTGGGCCCTGTCAGGCTGCAGGTAGACCAGGCACTGTATCACCCAGTTCCAGATCCTGTGTTCCCAGAAGGACATTAGGAAAAAACAAGCTGCTGCAAACACTTCCGAGTTCCTGAGCTGAACTCATTGCTGCCAGGGGATGATAAGCATGCTGAGGGTAAGCTTAAAGAGCCAGGACCTTCAAGACATTAGCAAACATCTCCTCAGCTTAGTCAAGAAAGGATATTATCAGCACAACCTTTGCTGCCTCTGTTAAGACTCTGATTCAGTTATAGACATCTATAATATAAATTTCTAAATCTGAATTATCCTTTTAGAGTCCCTTTAGAGCAATTTGAAAGAAATATGCACTTTTAAGGAGTGGTTAATTTCTCTCCAAAGGAGTCAAACAAATGGATGACAGAGATTTGCATCCAAAGAGGAAGGACCCTTAATTGATTACCTTATATCTGTATATGTTTGGGGTTTTTTTCTGACTTCCTGTGCTGAGCATAAATGCTTATGCTAACACTGAGGGGCATGGAATCCATGGAGAATTTAATCCTGAAGCAGTTGCTCAATTTAAACAGAGCTGTTTAACTAAAGACCCCTCGATGTGTGCTAGCAAAACACCATGTGAATATCTGTGATTTTCTGTAAAACAATGTGATTACTCAGTGCAAGCCTGGATAAAGGCTGAAAATGCAAGATCAAATGCACATCACTGACAAGTCAGCCAGACAGCCCAAAGGAACTTTTCACTTCAAACATAGAGTTCTTACAGCCTGTTTCCATAGATGTGTGAAGGAAGTGGCATTCCTGCTTTGCCCTTGGTTGTAGTCACTTGACAAGGGTCAGTTCTGGAAGCCATTTAACACCACGGCAAAATCACATTCCTCATGTCTCCTTAGATCTCTGCTGTGCATCCTAGAAAGCCAGCCCCTTGATCAGATTTAGTGGCTAACTATAGTCCCTCCTTCCCTTCCTCCCTTTTCCTTTCTTCCTCCTTCCCTCTTTCCCACCTTCCCACTTTCCTCCTTTCTTCCTCCTTCCCTCTTTCCCACCTTCCCACTTTCCTCCTTTCTTCTCTCCCACCTCTGTTTCTTCTCTTCCCACCCTCCTGTCTCTGTATAACCCAAATAATTGAAAACAACGTATTGATTTTTTCATAACAAATAAATAAAGGATGGTTCTGGTTCTTTCCCTGTGCTTCTGTGCAGTATCTATGTCATTCATCCCTGCTGTGTGGCTTCTGTTTTTCCTTAAGGAAGCAAGTTATGTGTCTATGCAGCAACCATTGCATCCATCTTCACAGACAATTTTTATTGAAATAAAGCACATTTTAGGATAGCAACAACCTTAGCGTAGAAGCAACCCTATGACAATATTTTTTTTAAGTAAAAGAGCACATTCTAACTTCTAAACATTGGTAACATAAAAAGAAACAGAGAAAGTACATGTCTATTCCCCAAGAGGATATTTAGAAGAATGATATATGAGTAGCAATGCAGGTACAAATAATGTGCAGAAAGGAATGGAGACAAAGTAAAATAAAAAAAAAAAAAAAATGTTTGAATGGCAAAGAGCTCTTACTACAGTGCTATTTTTCTTGCTTGAAGAAGTTTATACTGAGTTGATGTTTCTTCCCACTTCATAGGATGCATGGACTACAGAAATTACTTTATAAGGGAACTCCACTCTCTTCACACTGTCATCAGACCTATAAAAATATTGGGCAGAACAACTTTGCTCAGATCACGTTGAAGCATCGTACTGAGATTCTGAAGGTGTAGGTTCTCTCCCTGCCTCACCATCAGTCCAGTGCATCCCCACTTCACAGTATCTGTGCTGCATTTTCCCATCTGTAGACTGGGGATAACCAGAAAATGACCCATTTTCTGCAAAAGTAATAAAAATAAATACATTTTTTTAAGCTGGCAAAGACCCTATGAAAACATGTGTTGTATTTTGGTGTTAAAAAAAAAGAAAAAGAAAAAAGAAAAAGAAAAAAGAAGAAAAGGAAAGTAATTCAGATTAAAACAGCTAATAGAAGAAAATTATTTCTAGGACCAAAATATATCTTTGTGAGAAGACTGAAGAGTCCACATTTACAGTTTTTTGAAAGACACAAGTTTGCATGTTAGCCACACCAAAAATAATCAAGCCAAAATTCTTGAAATCAAGTTTTTTTCCTGTAGAAAAGATAATGTACAAGGACTAATTTCTGAATTTTTGAGCAGAGATGTTTTTGGTTAAGTTGCCTTCCCAAAATTTGGACAGGTTTGGTAAAATTAGAATTGAACTTGATTTCCAGCTCAGATTTTCCAGATACTCTCAAGCAGACACATACAGAAATAAGCTAATTTGTTCCTTTAGCTCCATTTCGCAACCTAGTGTGCAGTTCAACACACAGCCACAAAAAAGACCTTTCATTCTTCTGAAAATATGCCACTGGATAATTTATATGACAACAAATTAGCTTCACTCTTCATCTTCAAAGCACTCATCAAGCCTTCACTGCTAGTCCACTTATATTTGTGACAACTTCCTACTGTAGGCAAAATTGTTCCTCTCAGTTTATTTGTGTCACAAACTGGTCTCTGTGAGCTGGGTTTGTGCTGTTAGAAAATATGAAGTACCCAGAGTGTACCAGCAAAGATGGACCTTACTTGGTAGCTTAGGATGCTTTTACTTGTTCGAATAACCCTCGTGCAAGACTCACCTGACTCTCAATCTCTGGGTAAATGTAGGGAGTAAAACTGCTGCCTTGTAAGTCTCCCCAAGTTACTTGTTCGCCAAAGTGCTGAGCTTTCTAACCTCTGTTGGCTGGAGACTGTAGTCAGAGTTGAAATTGCTTAAACAATTGTAATCTTGATTAATATTTGAACTGAGTGCATCTGCCTGGCTTCCACCTGACCTGGCACTGAGAGCTGCGTGGGCTCCGGCCATTGAACTGGGCCGAGAAAAGTGAGCCAGCTCCAACTGGAAGTTGGTGGGGTGGAGTACACTGGAAACTCCTTAAAGAGAAAATGATTCTTTAATGGGAAAAGTGTGATTTTTCCAAGTAATTTGACCCGAGTGGAAACAAAGCTTGTCAGAGACTGTATTACGTGAAAATGTTTGCAGAATGATGTCAGTGTGTTAGCACTGTTAGCAGACAGTCAGAGCTTTATTCACAAAAAGGGCACATTTTCACTGCATGTAGTGAATTCATAAATGAGACTTTCTGTGCACAAGTGAGCCCCATGAAAATACAGCCCTTCAATTTTGGGGAAAAAGACATTTTTTTGAGTAGATGGGCCAAATTATTTTGTGACACTCTGAATGCAGGTTATCAAAGGGCCTCCCAAGGCTTTTTCTTGGATATGAACCCCTCTGAGCAAAGGTACAGGGAGAAGATTGGAGCACAGGCTCAAAGGCACTACCCAAGGATCAGGTGCAGCCTACTGCTCTCATCAGAGTGGCTCAGGTCACAGATCCCCCTATCTCTGCCTCCTGTGTCCTTGACGCTTCTTTAGGGAAATGTGTAAGAAGTGAGGAATATAAGATGTGATTCCTTCTCAGATATACTGCTGTGCCTCTGACAGTCTCCACAGCAACCACGTCACACAATCTGCTCCATAAGACAATTGGAAAAAGATGGTTTGTTTGGGTGTTACCAGACCTTCCAGCTCAGTGACATTTTCTGCCGGAGATGATGAACTCCAACACAGCGTGGACAAGCAGGGTGAGGGAATTGGAGGGATGCTTTGAAGAACCTGGGAAGTCTGGAGTCAGTCTCAAGCTGGGAGGCAGGCAGCCAGCCCTCAGTAATATTTGGGCAACGCTCAGCCATTCATGCACACGTGAGTGGGAGTCTATGAGTGCAGACCCACACAGGATGGAATTCACAGTGCTGGGTAAGGGGAGGCACAGGCCACTCGGTCAGCTACTGTCTCTGTCACTTCTTTCAGGACTCCTACTGTTCCTTGCCTCAAAACCAGCAGTATGGAGCCTGTGGAGGAATTCTTCCAGGAAAATCTTCAGTAAAGCCTTTTAATTTTCTGAGCTGGCCCTTGCTCCTCCCTTTGGGAATGAGGAATGAATATTGCCTGTATCATTTTCAGCTTGCTGCCATCAGTTTCTGTGGAATAAAATAATCCCCTTTCCCCTCTGCTCCAACTTTTCTGAAAAGAAATGATATATAATCTGCAGGTGGTCTGTGGGATGGTCCCTTGCCGGTGATTTCATTTTTGTTGTGGTGCAATATATTGCTATTGTTATTTGCACATCTTCAGTAGTAACATGCTAGGGAAATACGGATATTTTTATTAGAACAGGCTGAAGCATCTTAGCATTTGGGAATGATTTAGCTTTATGGTACTTGCTGTACCACAGGTTCACCGTACACATGTGCAAGCACATCTCTAACAGAAGGTAATGCAAACTTCTCCAGTATCATTTCCTACGGTGTCCCATACAGGTTCCCATGCCATGCTGTTCACTGGTGTCTGAAGCCTGATGCAGTAGTGCATCAAGTGATGTGACTAACAGCTGCCTTGAGTTGTGTTGTAAAGGAAAGTGTGTGTAGCAGATTTAAATCCCTCCTTAATGCACATGTATTTCATTTAAAAGTCTGACAAAAAAAAAAAAGATCAGCGTGTTCCTACCCTCACTGCTTAATTAGTTCTTATTGTACTCATAACCCATTTCCACTTCATTATTCATAACTGTCAGTTCACTTTTTTTCTTTCTTTCTTTAATTAAAATTGTTTAAGAGAAATCAGAGCTAGGCAAGGGTGCCTGACTTGCAGGCTTGGGGACCAAATGCTTACTGCATAGGTCAAGTGCAGTATAGGCAGCTGCAGTGAAAGCTGATCTCTAATAATCTGCCACAGGCTATGATTAAGGGAAAAAAATAAAGTGAAACTGCCTCTGAACTAATTTCTCCAGCCAAATTTCTTCTTCCTACCTTGGTTTGACTTGCGCCTATTGTTACCTGGGTTCATTGTGTCAGGACTGGGCAGGAGAGCCTTGGCTCTCCGCTCTCCTCAGATCTTCCTGAAAGAGGGTATGAAAAAAACAAAAGTTAAGAGAGACCTGCACAGCAACCTCTTGGCAGAAATCATGAGCCAACAGGCTTCTGACAAAAAGCCAGACCTCTTACTTGTATCTCTGTGCCTGTTGATCCGTGGCACAACTCTCATGAAGGCTGGAAGTCTGCGTCCCTGGAGAGAGGCCCCTGAAAATGGCAGCGGTGATTGCCCAGGAGCTAGCTCTGCTTCACAGGAGCCAGCTCTGCTCCACTTCTTTGCTTTGTTTGCCAGGCATTTGGGGAGACCACGTCGGGAATACCCAGGTGAGGTTTCTGCCTGTTTTGCTAAGAGCAGCTGGCGCAGATGTGGGACTCACACGGTGCCACCAGAGCCTGGGCCTTGGAGCTCGGTGGGCAACAGACCAAAGGAGACGGCCTGCAGGGGCCATGGTGAAAGGGCCTCGGGCTGGCGCAGTTTGCCCACCTTTCGTTCACAGTGGGGCACTGAAAGGTGTTTCCAGACAGGGCAGCCTGCAAGGTGCTCCTAGTCATTGATAACAGGATGAGAAGCTGTGAGCACAGATAGCTGGGGAGAGAAAGGCGAGCCCAGCCTCTCAGGGTGTCCTCCAGAGGAAAAAGGGGGAAAAAGGGTCTCTCCTCTGCTAATGCAGAGGAACAATGAGGACAGGTTTGCTGGGGGATGGACAGCAAGGCTGTGTGCAGGGGCTGGGAGGGAGGGAAAATGATGTGCAAAAATACATGTGGGAGAGGACAGCCATTGCTTTGCATGCAGCTCACTCAGTCCTCCCAGGGAGAGGCTCACACCAGCTTGCTGCCCGTTTCCAAGTCCAGTTTACTGACCAGTGAAACTGCCTGTGCTGTATCACATACCCCTGTGGTACTGCAGCAGCTGAGGAAAATATTTCATCTCAGCATCTGGTGGAAAGCATCCCTCGCGAGGAATCTTTCGCTACTTTCATTTTCTCCTTCCTAAAATCCAAATGTGCCTGGTCCAGTAATACCGTCAAAGTTTTATTGAGGGATAAAGGTAGCAAGATTTTATTGGCATAGGAGAGGTTTGACAAATTTGGGGATGACCAGGATTTAAATATTTTCTCTTCACTATGAGATCCTCAAAACCAACGAGACCCTAGAGTCAGCATATTTCTTTGACCTCAAAAAATGAAACTGTTACTGTTGTAAAGAGGTAACTAGGACATTACTTGGCTTGTGTATTTTACAGTGAGCACTTGTTTTTGTGCCTTCTGCACTGCCATAATTGGGCCACTGTTCAGGTGCATATTGCTCTTCAGGAAGGACACATAAGCATGTGTTTAAGACCTATGAAATCACCAGCCTTTTTTGCCTTTCCTAAATCAACAGGACTTAAGCATGTGCCTAAAGTGCTTTTTCCGAAATGGGGCCTTAAAGAGCTGAGTTAGCTTATCCACCTTCCTATTTAAGAGATGGATGTGGAAAATTTCCCAGATTATACATCTGCTCTTCCAATTTACATCGCAGAGAGTAAAAGGCTGAGTACAGAGGGAGCAGAAAAGGGGAAAGAAAAGTAAAAACAATCCTGAAGTGGCTGCCTGGCAAAAAGAAAGTGAAACAGCTGCCTGCCAGATTGGGAGGGCTGCATACTGTGTGCACCGTGGCAGGGCCATCTGCACGCCAGGCTTGCACCAGGTGCTGTATTTAGAATAGAAGGAGAGAGCTTGTAGAGAGAAGGCAAGCCAGTTTACAGTCAAAGGGTATCTATCTTTTAGGTTTATCCTGATATTTGGCCTCCATCTGATACATTCCTTTCTTTTTCCCCCCAGACTGTTACAACAGTAAGAGTGACAGAGAAGAATAATGGGTTGAGGAAGGCCTCTGCCTTTTTTTACTTTTTCTTCCCAGCACTGTGTCTTAGCCGAGCATGGAAGCACAAAAAGGACTCCTGATATTTGGAGGTGTGAAATTTGAGGTGCCCCGCAGACAAAAATATTATTCTGCTACAAACCCAGCCTTTTTGGAGGAGTGACACTTCCTGGGGGTGGCGATGCAGTTTGGGTGCGAGGAGCAAAGGCAGCTCTGTGCCTGTGGTTGTGCACGCACTGCCCACAGCCTGCACCTTGCCCCCCTGCATGGGGAGCCTGCATTCCCTGCATCCATGCTGGTGCTTCTCATCCCAAACAGTTCAAGTGAAAGCTTTTTTTGTTAACTTTTGCTGTATTTCCACCCCCATTCCTGAAAATTTTCTTTCAGCACAAGGAGGATTTGGCTGAGGCTGAAACAAAATAAAATGGGGACCAATCCCAGTTATGCCATAGTCAGTCTGAGTCGAATGCAGCCTGACAGGGCAAAAAATTTAGCGAGCCAGAGTATGAGCAAGAATAGAACTCTGACAACTCCTCTGCCCTTAAGCCTGAGGACTTTATGAGCCTTATCATAGCTGCTAGGCCATCCTTGTCTTCTTTTACTTGTGCTTTACTTCCTTCCTATAAGTTTTAAAACTTTATCTGAACCTAGGCTGTTCTTTACATCACATACTCCCTCTTTGATTTCAAAGATGGAAGGGAAGTTATTTAAAAATAGGCTCCATCATAGACAGCATTCTGGCAACGAGGCACGGAGCTAGACCTCCTAAGTACATCTGTGACTCTGAGGGAGGCCAGCATGGTTTAACTTTTGAGCCACAGAAGAAAATCAAACTGTTTCACCATTTGTCTGGTGAGAGCCAGAGATGCCTTTGTACGAATTTCTTCATTTTGTTGTGCAGTTTAGGATTTTGTCTTGAGCTTTGCATTAACTCTGACGATGTATTAGGTATAAAATGGAATTCCAGTGAAGAGCACTCAGTGCTGATGCAGCTGGGTGGCCGGCTGGCATGCTGTGGCTGCGTTTATAGAGCTCCCTAAGAGTGACCAGAGCATTGCTCTGAAGACACTTATCCATTTGAAGCTAAAAAGAAACTGCCAGTCTGATCTCTTATTAAATACAGGTTGGTCTCTTATTGAGTTCTTTTAATTATGTTTACTTTGCACTGGGGCTGACTTTCTTTCTGATGCAGTCTAAATCACTGAACTCAATGAACATGTTCCTTCATCCTTTGCATTTGCAGCAGCAATAGGTTGTGCAGGACTCAGCAATTTCAGATAGAAGGCTTTTATACCCAGCACAGGTCACTTAGGAGGGGACTCTTCAAACCAAGTTTTGCCACTACTCTACGGTTTGACCCATAGGATGAATCAGAACATCTTTTGTGCCTCCATTTCCCATCTGCAACATAACATTCCCATCTGCAACATAACATTAAGTGCTTCGCAATCAAAGATTGAAAAGCTTTGTAAAACATAGATTATTATTACTTTGCATATGGCACAAGCAGCGAAGAATCAGTCCCAGGGAAACAGCAGAGGTGACAGCAACACATGGCTATCTGTATGTCATTAGCACTCCCGAGAGCCTCTGGTACTCCCAAAGCTCATAAATGGCAATATGAATGTTTCAAAAGTAACTTTTTTTAAAATGTAAAAGGCTACTTTAATTAAATGAACATATCTTTTCTCTTAGATCATAACCTTGGATCTCAATAAGTATGTTGGGAATTCAGAAGCATTTAAAAAAAAAAAAAAGAGAGAACTATGTTCTTTTGTAGTTGGCAATTTTACAGGCTTCTTATATTAAAACAGATTTTCATTTTTTAAAAAGCAAGCTGAAAAACTTTTGCAATAAGACATTAAAAAGTGTTTAGCATGCTGGTTCATCAATAGTGATGCTTCAATGCAGACTTTAAAAATAGCAGTTCAAATTTATATATAAAGTCTCTTTATCTGCTCCCTTTTTGTTTGACAGATCAAATTTATATATAAAGTCTCTTTATCTGCTCCCTTTTTGTTTGACAGAATCTTGCAAAAATAAAGGTATTGTGTGTCAATTTCTTATTCAACCTGAATAAAAACTAGAAAAATTGGTCTTACTTTTTCATTGCTTAATCTACTGCTATTCCCAATGTTAAGATGATGAGAGCTTGGCCTTGTGGCGTAGGCTCAGTCTGAGATGGCACAGGGGCTTAGAGCGAGCAAGGGAGAGCAGAAATTCCTTTGTCACCATCCCATAACTCCTTTCCTCCTAGATCTAGAAGATCTGCTGCTGCAGTCCCTTAGAAATAATAATGGTCAGAAGATGTTTCTTTGTCTCCTGCTGAAACCACATGATAGCCCTTACTGTCTTTCAGAGAGAATTACCACTGAATAATACAAGACAAAGATTCCCTTATTGCAAGCAGTAAGGTCCTGTCATCTGCACTCACTTTCCTAATTTTTATCTTCTTATAAGTTGTCAAACTGCATCCTTTGCTGTGGAAACCAGGGAAGTATATGTGGACACTGAATACAACATTTCCCTGGGCTTCCCTGACTCATCAGGATTCAGGTCTGCACAGCACACGGACAGGAGTGATAAATTAATAATATCATACTGTTGCTATTTTTTCAGGTGACCAGTAGAATTAAGAGGCTTGTCAAGGTTGGTCTTATTTCCAGTTTAATTTTGGCTGAGCACTCTTCTTGTGTGTTCAGGATGCTCTTAACTATGTGTGGAAATAGAGGTGGCTTATTTAGTACCTATCTTGACCTGGCAAAATCTCCTAATGATACAGTCCAATTTTAATAGTTTGCTGATCACCTACTGTTGAGATGCCCAGAGACCTCTCACTACAGGCACCAAGAAATTGAAATCAGATTTGGATTTTCCTGAAGGGTCTTGTTTCCCACGCCATTGCTCCACTAAGTGTCCCTTCCCATCGTGTACCTCCCTCCTTTATCAAGAGAGGCTTATGAATCATGATGCTTGGGACCTCTTTAAGGCTTGAACATCAGCTTCAGAGGAGTTCATGCCTCTCTCCTGCTGGTAATCTGCTGTTCAGGACACAGATCTTTTTGCTCATCTTCATTCATCACAGCTTGTCCGTCACTGCAGTAGCTCAGTTTAGGAGAGCAGTGACACTGCCTAGATAGGAATCCATCTGCATTAAGTGTTTGCTGAACAGCTCTGAAGAACCTCATTTATAAAAGGCAGCATGTTGGTAAATGGTAGCTAGTTCACAAATAATAACAAAAAGAAGTTGGATCTGCAAGTCACTACAAATTATTTACTGTGTCCAGATTCATTTGCAACAAAGGGGTTATGTGCAAGAAAATCTTGAACTTTGGCCAGAAATCCTTTCTTTTGTTGCTAGCAGTTACATCTGCTGCTTCTTTCTTCTAGTGCTACACAGATCTCTTTAATCCCTAGAATGTGTTCCCAATTTGATTGTATTTACATATATGTCTATAGCTGTGCTCAAAATACCAGCCTTACTCTTCATCACATTTCCATGCTGTATTAGGGTTTTGTTTGGATAATGTCATTTCTCTTGTGCCTGGAAAATTTGGCTTCCTGTGAGGTTTTGGAAATTGACTTCTTCCTTTATATATCCAGTGGGTTTTTTAAAAATTCTCTATTATTTTTTTCCTTTTTTCCCCCCGTTTCCTTTTCTTTGTAGCTCTCTTTTCAGTCTACTAAGAGAAACAAGGATGTGTACTGCATACCCTCTGGCCTGCCATGTTTAATTCAGATGAAGCCTCAGTGTGAAAAACGTACATGAG